GACTAATTATTATTTGGATTTGAAATAAACACTTGGGTTACCCGTCTTTTAGACGAAATTTGGTTTCTATTTCTATATTAGACGAATTTGATTACTTTTGAAAATAGTCAATTTAGTCTCTTTCTTAATTCAAATATCGTAGGTACCAGTATTTATCTTATTATGATAACCTATATTTCTTCAATACAATTGCCTCTAAATCATTGGACACGTTCGTGACTTATAAGGTTGAAGTTGAAAATCAATTTAACAAAAGAATAAAGCATGTCAAATCTGGCCGTGGTGGTGACTATTATAATAGATTTGATAGATCAAAAGAACAATGTTTAGGGCCTTTTGCTAAATTCCAAGAGGAATGTGGAATCGTCTACAATACACCGTGTTGGATTCTCTAGCATGAATGATGTTACTGAGAGACGAAATATAACACTTAAGGATATAGTAGGGAGTGTGATTAGTCATCTCACCTCGCTAGAATCTCTCTAGAAAAAAACACAAAAAACTGCAGCTTAAATTCTCAATAAAGTTCAAAGTAAAGCAATTGTTAATGGATTACAAATTTTTAAAGATCTCACTATTAAGTCAATTTTTGAAACGGGAAATGTTTGATTCTTTGAGGATGTAGAGTTTGTGGGGGGAGATAAGGTTAAAGATTTTGTCTTTGAGGAAGGATATGTATATATTACTTCTGTTGCAATTGACAATGATCAAGACTAGGAACAAATTCTTGCCCTAGATCTTGAGCAAGAAGCAATTTTGAATCATGATAATATTACAAAATTCTCTACACACAATCAAGATATTTTTTCAGATGAACAAACTCAACAACCTTGAGAACAAATGCTATTAGGGAAATCAATTATAGAAAGGAGAAAGACGATTTTGAATCACTTTATAGTCTTTTTTAAAGAAAATAAGGATGTCATTGGATTGGTGGAAGAAGATCTCATCAATCAACTTTTCACCGATCCATGCAAAGGAATAATTTTCAAAAGTAAATTGATACCATGAATAAAGAGACAATGTCCATGAAATACAACGATGTTTGAGAACTCATCATATTGTCTGAATGTGCAAAACTCGTTGGTTGTAAATGGATATTCAAAACAAAGAGAGATTCGAAGAGTGATACGAAGAGATATAAAAGACTCGTGTTGTTGCAAATAGCTTTACTAAAAAGGAAGATATTGATATTAAATAGACTTTTTTCTAATTTTTACGAAATAC